GATGGAGGACCCAGAGGTCCAGTCACAGGTAGCAAGCCACTGCTCAGTTGCTTCAGGAAAACCACTCTCTTGCTCTGTGACGTCCAGTGAGGGTGATCAGAATGGTCACAGAGTGATGCTGGCTCCCAGTTTTCTCACATGCTGACTAAAGGGTTTATTGCCATGGCTCAACAGCTTTCGAGGCATATCTTGAGTAGGATAATACCTAGGGATTTTGCGAAGTTTAACCACCTGGGTGTCCCCACCAACTGGTTTTGTAATAGTGGCAAGAACCTTCTCATTTTTCTTGGATTTAGTGGCCAAGTGTTTCCTCTTGTACATGGCCTTCCTGGAATACTTGGCAGATCAGAAGTATCTGCTGATGCCCCGGACTAGGATGGGGTTTCAGCTCCAATGGGACTTCCCCTTCTTGGGTTTTTTAGCCTTGGGGGCCACCCTTTTTAACCTTACCACTGGCATCAGCCCTCATGGCATCAGGTTTCTTCTCAGTATCTTGCTTCACAACTTTTTCACCTGCCATGTTGTGTAAGTGGGAAGAGAACTAAACTTTGTGCTTCTGGTATGTAAGCAATCCTGTGTTTAGGTTTTAATAAAAACTGTAAAAAAATTTTTTTTAATCAATTTGAAAATGTTTCTATAGAAGAAGCTTATAGAAGAAGGATATAAAGAGAGTATTTTTGTATTGGGTGCAATGTGTTTGTGTTTTAAGCTAAGTGGTGTTATAAAAAGGTCAAAAAGGTTTTAAAGATTTAAGAGGATAGAATTAAAAAGTAAGAGTGAGCTTATTTACTGAAGAAAAATATTTTCATGAATTTAGTGTAGCCTAAATGTACAGTGTCTATCAGTCTTTCCAGTATACACTACTGTCTTAGACCTCCACGTTCACTCACCACTCACTCAAAGTAGCTGCTCGTCCTCCAAGCTCCATTCGTGATAAATGCTCTTCACATGTGTACCATTTTTTAAAAAATTCCTTTGTGTTTTTACTGTCCCTTTCCTATAGCGTGCCATCCAGGTTTGTAGCCTAGGAGCTGATACGTCCTTCAGTAAGTGAATGGATAAACTGTAGTACATCCAGACCCTGTTGTATTCTTTAGTGTTAAAATTAAATGTTACCAAGCCATGAAAAGATGTAGTGGAACCTTAAATGCATACTCAAAGAAGCCAATCTGAAATACTGCCTTTTTTTTTTTTCTTTTTGGAGAGGTTTTTGCTATAGGGCGCGTGCGCTCACCAGACAGAGAGAGACAGAGAGACAGAAAGCGAGAAATCACCCCCCAGGGGGGATGGTCACCCTGCAATCCCTTCTCCTCCATTCTCCTCTCAGGATCTTGGGCACGCACGCACACATGCCCAGCGTGAGTTTTAAGCCATCGGGTCCAGGACACGAACCACAGTCGACTGCATGGAAGTCCAGCGACATAGCCATTACGCTAACTGCTGGCCCCTGAAATACTGCCTTTTGTATAATTCTGATAACATTCTGGAAAAGGCAAAACTATGGAAACAAAAATATCAGTGGTTTCCAGGAATTGGGGGAGGAAAGATTAAGTAGGCAGAACACACAGGATTTTAGGGCAGTGTAACTATTTTGTATGGTACTGTGATAGTGGATACATGCCATTATATGCTTGTCAGAACCCATAGAATATGCAGTTCCAAGAGCGAATTTTAATGTGATCTGTGGACTTCGGGTGGCCATGATGTATATGTTTTGGTAATGTAATGCAGGTTTATTGATTGTAACAAATGTACCACTCTAAAGGGGGGAGATAGATATTGAAGGAGACTGTGCATGTGTAGGGCAGGGAGCAAATAGGGACTTTCTGTATTTTCTGCTCAGTTTTGCCGTGAACCCAAAACTCCAAAAAACTGTCTTATTGCATTTTTGTTTTTGTTTGAGATTTTTTGCTATAGGGTGTGAGACTTGCTGAAGAAACAGAGAAAGAAAGCGAAAAATCACCTCTCCCCTCCAGGGGGGATGGTCATGCTACAATCCCTTCTCCTTCCTTCTCTTCTTGGGATTTTGGTCATGTACACACATGCCTGGCTTGAGTTTCAAGCCGCCGTGTCTGGGACTTGAGCTGTGGTCGGCCATGTGGGAGTCCAGCGACATAATCATTACACCATCTGCTGGTCCCAGTCTATTTTCAAAGTTCTTGCTGGGCTAGCCCATGGCATGGTCGTTAAGGCAGCTGGATCCTACATGGCCAACAGTGCAGTTCAAGTCTCAGACCCACTGGCTTGAAATACACACTTTGTGTGTGTGTGTGTGTGTGTGTGTGCGTGTGTGCGCCTGCCCAAAATCCCAAGAGAAGGGATTGTGGCGTGGGCATCTCCCCTGGGGGAAATCACCCTTTCTTTTCTCTGTTTCTCTCCCGTGGGCACATGTGTTCTATAGTAAACGTTTAAAAAAAAAATCTGGAACTAAAAGTGATGTTTGGATGATATTATCAGTATACAAAACCAGTGAGTTACAGGTTGTGAAAGGCGAATTTTATACTATGCAAATTATCTCTCAGTTTTTGTTTTTCTTTTGAGAGGTTTTTTCTATAGGGTACGTGCACTTGCCAGGAAGACAGAGAGAGAGAGAGAGAGGCAGAAAGAGAGAAATCACCCTCAGGGAGTATGACCAAGCTGCAGCAATCCCTTCTCCTCCATTTTCCTCTCAGGATCTTGGGCACGCATGCACACACGCCTGGTGTGAGTTTAAGCCACTGGGTCCGGGACTCGAACCGCAGTCGACTATGTGGGAGTCCAGTGACATAGCCATTACACCAATTGCTAGTCCCACATCTCCCAGTTTTTAAGAAAGACTGTTTCACGATTGTTCATCTCTCAGTTTTTAAGAAAGACTGTTTCACGATTGTTACCTAGGGACCAGCAGTTACCGTAATGGCTATGTCACTGGACTCCCATGTAGTCGACCACGGCTTGAGTCCCAGATCTGGTGGCTTAAAATCACGCGTGCC